TGTATAATATATGTATAATGTATAATAATAATGTATAAACTTGCCAATCAAGATACAAAAAATATCCAGAAAGTTGCCTTGTGTACCTTTCTAGTCACTCTTTCAAAGCTCAGATGAAACTGCTAATTTGATTTCTCTTCCCCTAGATTAGTTAGACCATCATATTGCTGGAATTGTATAGTACCTGTTTTTTGTGTCTGTCTTCTTTCATTCAACAGGCTTTGAGATTCACTCACGTTGTAGTATCAAGTGTATATTAGTATGAATACTAGTCTGTTGCAAGAATCAATCACAATTTATTCATCCATTCTTCTGTTGATGAACATTTGGGTTGTTTTAGACTTTTTGGTATTTTGAATAAACTAGCCATTAATTTTGAATGAACAAGTTTTCTTTTTTCCCTAATAGGATGTGAAATATGAACCATCTTAAGAAATCTCTTATTCATAAACAAAGTTAGACTGAGTGTAGATAATTTAATGCTTGTTTGAAGGCATCTTCATGGTAATAGCAATAAATTACAGATTTTTTTTAAGCCTACTCTATCTTTATATTCTAGTCTGATGTATATAACTCAGACATTTAACTACATCAACTGGGATTAGACTCTTGTAACCCACAACTTCTCTGGGTCCAGAAAGGCAAAAAGAGATGGTGTTATTATGAGTGTGTGTTTATTTTCTTTTCAAGAACAGACTTAGTGAAGGTATGATCTTAATCTTTTGTTTGTTTGACAGAGAGAGACACAGCGAGAGAGGGAGAACAAGCAGGTGGAGGGGCAGAGGGAGAAGCAGGCTTCCTGCTGAGCAGGGAGCCTGATTCAGGGCTTGATCCCAGGACTCTGGGATCAGGACCTGTGCCGAAAACAGATGCTTAACGACTGAGCCACCCAGGCGCCCTGAAGGTATGATCTAAATCTTGTAGTAAAACATTTCTTTTTTTTTTTTAAAGATTTTATTTATTTATGTGAGAGAGAGAGAATGAGAGACAGAGAACATTTCTTATCTTTTGGGTGGATATAACTTTCTGATACCCAAGGACTTTGTTCCCATGCCAATCTGGATTAGAAAAGGGAGAAACTCTAACCTTATTTATGTCTCTCTTTGAATAACAGTGTGAGGATTGAGAAAAGTATAGTATAGGCTTTCTTTTAGTATGTTATTTTACAACCCATGGAAGAGTAGGAGGTGAGGAACTGGAATAGCTGAAAGTGAAGACCTAGAAAGGAAGGGCACCTGGGTGACTCAGTGGTTAAGGGACTGCCTTAGGTTCAGGTCATGATCCCCAGGTCTTGGGATAGAGTCCTCCATCGGGCGCCCTCTGCTGTGCAGGGAGCCTGCTTCTCCCTCTCCCTCTGCTGCTCCCCTGCTTGTACTCTCTCTCTCTCTCAGTCAAATAAATAAATAAAATCTTAACCCCCCCCCAAAAAAAACCCTAGAAGGGAAGTGCTGGAGGTAAAGGTTACAAAATGATATAATTAAAACTTCATTAGGTTGGAAGTTCTTTCTATCAAAGTTCCTTCACAAGTTCCTTTCTCTGCTTCACAAAGATGTAATTTTATTTAATGTTGTGTATCTGCCCTTTATTTAAGGTCAATTAAATAATGATCTTAAGTTTTTTTGTATCTTTCTGTAAAACTGTTGTTAAGAATGTGTTCTAGGTCAGATTTTTCTTCAACTGGGGTCTTCAGGTCCCCAGGTGTAGAGCTACACACTTGGCAGTTTGAGAGTTCTACGATGTTTTAATTTAGACTTGTGTTTAAGCAGTGTTGCTTAAAATAGTATTTTACTACACATTAAATGAAAACTTCTCTTTTGCTATGATAACTCACAACCATAGACATTTTCCCAAAGTAAGACTATACTTTCTTTTTTGTTTTTTTTACTTTTTTTGTTGTGGGAAAATATATATAAAATAAAATTTACCCTTTTTCTTCAGATATTTTATTTATTTGTGAGAGAGAGAGAGAGAGACAGAGAGAGCACAAACAGGGGGAGCGGCAGGTAGAGGAAGAAGTAGGCTCCCCGCTGAGCAAGGAGCCAGATGCAGAACTCAATCCCAAGACCCCACGATCACAAACTGAGCTGAAGGCAGACGCTTAACCGACTGAAGCCACCCAGGCATCCCTAAAATTTACTCTTTTAACCATTTTTAAGTGTATAGTTCAGTGGCATGAAGTACCTTCACATTGTTATGCTGACTTTAATTTCTCATAGTAGTATTTCTTTAAAGTGGAATTTTCAAGAGTATTTAAGAAATTTAAAAAAAAAACACATTTTTTTTCCTTTAAAAAGAGTTTGTGGGGTGCCTGAGTGGCTCAGTCAGTTAAGTGCCTGCCTGTGGCTCAGGTCATGATCTCTGGGTCCTGGAATTGAGCCCCTTGTCTGGCTCCCTGCTCAGCAGGGAATCTGCTTCTCCCTCTCCTTCTGCCACTCCCCCTGCTTGTGCTCTCTGTCAGATAAACAAAATCTTTAAAAAAAAATAAAGAGTTTGTATATTACTCAAGATTAGGAGTCAGTATTCTAGGTTATAAATTCCACTTATAGATCTTTGTCTTTTTTTTTTTTCATTTCTATTTTTGAGAGAGAGAGAGGGCACGCCTGAGTGGGAAGGAGCCGAGGGAGAAGGAGCAAGAGAATCTTAAGCAGGCTCCAGGCTCAGTGCAGAGCCCAAAGTGGGGCTCAATTCCAACAACCCTGAAATCAAGAGTTGGAGGCTTAACCGACTGAGCCACCCAGGCACCCCTAATTGTTTTTCTCTCTTGATAAAAATGAATATTTTTTCTTTAGCTAGTGAGAATGATATAGACCATTATGTTTTTTTTCTAGAAATACAGAACAAAATTCAATAAGTGTAAGCATTTTCTCTGTTCCCAATATAATTATTTGCCTATACTGTATATCTTACCTTCCTTTAACCATACATTTTCTTTTCTTTCTTTTCTTTTTGTTTTAAGATTTTATTCATTTATTTGACAGAGAGACACAGTGAGAGAAGGAACACAAGCAGGGGAGTGGGAGAGGGAGAAGCAGGCTCCCTGCTGAGCAGGGAGCCCAATGCAATGCAGGGCTCGATCCCAGGACCCCGGGATCATGACCCGACCCGAAGGCAGATGCTTAACAATTGAGCCACCCAGTGCCCCATAACTATAAATTTTCTGATTTTACATGGTTTATATTATACCTTGTTTCAAATTCTTTTTAAGTAGCTGCTATGTAAGTTTTAACATTGTTTAAAAGATTTTATTTATTTATTTGACAGAGAGACAGAGGGAGAGAGAGAGAGAGAGCACAAGTAGGGGGAGGAGCAGAGGGAAGCAGACTCCCCTTAAGCAGGGAGCCAGACAAGGGGGCTCGATTCCAGGACCCCGAGATCATGACTGGAGCAGAAGGCAGGCACTTAACCAACTGAAACACCAAGGTGCTCCTTAACATATTTTTACTTTTTTTTTTTTTTTTTTGAAGTAGGCTTCAAGCCCGGCATGGAGCCCAATGCCAGGCTTGAACTCAGGACCCTGAGATCAAGACTTGAGCTGATTATCAACAGTCGGATGCTTAATTGACTGAACCACCCAGGCACCCCGGTACTATGTAAGTTTAAAATGCATGCTGAAAATTCTAGCTCAAAGTAGTAGACTATATAAATTATAGGTGAATTCAATCAAATATTAGAAATTCCTTTATTCAGTAATAGCAACTAACGTTTTAAAAATAGTTACAATGAATGTGCCTGGACATTGTGCTAATCAATTTACTGTGAATAGCTAGTAAAACCCTATGATGTAAGTACTGTTATCACCCCCACTTCACAGAGGTTCAAAGAAATGAAGACTCTTCTGCAATGACCTGAAGCACTTTTATTAGGACCCAAGTATGGCTGACTTCCAAAGCTCAGGCTTCTAACCATAATGCACCTTGCATCCCAAGTTGCACTTTCTACTTTGCATGATTGATGGTTTCTTTGTGGGAGAATGCTCACTGCTGCCCCCAACGAAGCCGAACCCTGCTTTCTAACAATTGTTTTGCACCCAGTCGCTTATCCTGTCCGTCCTCTTAGTGGGGTCCTGGCCCACCCTCGGACCCTGGTCCCCCTATAAAGTCTCGTCCCATCAGATCCTCGTGCCTCAAGAGTCCCTTCCCCTCACACCCTGGCAACCACAGCAGGGCCCTGTCCCCTCATACCCTGGTCTGCCTGAAGAGCTGGTCCTTTCAGACCGTGACCTCCTACCAGGGCCCCAACTCCTCAGACAGGTGATACTAGCAGAGCCGTTCCCTCGGGCTCTCGCCCCCCAGAGCCCTCAGACCCTGTTTTCCAGCACAGCTGAGATGCTTGTACCCCAGCAGACAGCAATAGCCCTCAGTAAAGCTTCGCAAGCAATTCTCCTTACAAAGGTCCCATTCCAACCCCAAATTAAGGGCACCTCTCTACCTTTCCCCTTTCCAAACTTCTCCCAGAATCGTGCTTTTTTTTCCTAGTCTCCCCTTTTTCTGCTTCTCATTCACGCTCCCCAACTTCCCCCACCATCTGGTAGCCCGGTTTCAGTTCCTGGAGCCCCCCCAAAACTCACCCAACGTCCGTCCTCTCTTCAAGAGAGCAGCGATCCCAAACGGCTCCGCGCTTTACCTCTCACCTTGGTTCTTTATGGCCCTCTCTGCTGGGCGCTCCCCCCACTCGCCCCGCCCTGAAAGCGCCTTTCAGCCAGTCGTCGCCCGAAGTCCCGCCCCCTCCAAGCCTATTGGCCATCTCTCCTAAAAAGTCCCGCCTCCTCAGCTTCCAGTCCTCCTCCCCGCCCCGCTTCCCTTGTTTTCATTCCCCCTGTCACACGAGGCAGTGGCGAACCCAAGGTGGGAGGGGCGAAATAGAGGGAGGGAAGGGGGGGCGGAAAGAGGGCGGAAAGTGAAAGGCATAGAGCGCCTCTCTTTCCCCCGTCTGACTCGGTTCTCGACTGCTCCGAGCAGCCGTTGTATTGTGGGATCGCGGCGCCGTGCCTGAGACGTTCGGATTCACAGGGGAGCCCACTCACTAGCGCCTCCTGTTGTCGGCAAGGCTGCCCTGCCATTCCTCGGCCCCCAACTCCCTCCACTCCCCCCCCATCGCCTCCTCCTCCATCCTCCAGTTCAAAATGGCGGCGGCGGCAGCAGCGGCGGCCGCGATGGCTCCTCCGGGCTGCCCGGGTTCGTGCCCCAACTTCGCCGTAGTCTGCTCCTTCTTGGAGCGCTACGGGCCGCTGCTCGACCTGCCTGAGTTGCCGTTTCCCGAGCTGGAGCGGGTGCTGCAGGCGCCGCCGCCGGACGTCGGCAGTGGAGAAGGTAAGCGAGGGGCCCGAACGCCCGGCGGGAAGCGGCCCTGGCACGCTTCTTCTCTCCGCTCTTCACGGACACCCCGGGCCTCTGCGGCTCTGTCCTTCCCCTGGGGCGCAGCTCTGCCCGGCTCGGCTTCTCCGCCCAGCCCCCAGGGTCTTGGGCAGTGGGGAGGCGGGGCAGAGACCCCCTAGGGCCACTGGGCCTGGCGCCGAGAGGAGGTGGGGGCGTCGCGGGCTAGGTGTGGGCTGGGGGCGTGGAGTGGTCATTGTGCTGGTCTGCGGCCCCTGGGACTGTTTCCCCGGCGGCAGGGGCCGGTCCTCCACCCCTTCTCCCCCTGGGTGGCGGGGGAAGGGGAGCGCAGGTTCCGGCCAGCTTTGCGCTTTTCTCCTCCTCCCCTCCCTTGCTCCCTCCCTTCCTCCCACCATCCTCCCCACCATCTCGGGGGAGGCTGGGCTCATCTTCTCGGGGCGCCCCTTTCTCTCCCTCCACCTGGGTGGGCGGGGGCCAGCGGACACTTCAGCTCTCCCTCCCTCTAGTGGGAACTCCCCCGAGAGAGTCGCTCGCGTCTCTCTTCCCTTCCCCTCGAGGGCTGGTTTAACCCCCAAAACTCCTTCCTCAGAGTAGGGAGATTTGCTCCTCCCCCATGGGAGGGGGTCCTCCTCCATTCTCGCTTTGGGGGTCGAAGTCGGTTCAGCTCCTCCACTTTGGAGGGTAGAGGGTTAATTTTTCCTCCCCCATAGTTTTCCTCCTCCCTCTCCCCACCTCCCCCCAAATAATAGAAAAGCATCTCCCCACTTTTCTAATCCCTTCCCCCTTCATCTTGGCAGCAGGGCTTAGGGGAAGAAGTCGCCCTCCCATTTGCAGGGTGGGGTGGGGTGGTTAGTATGTAGGCTGGAGGAGGGGCTCAGACGGAGGGGGAAACAGTTGAAGAAGGTGCTTGTTGCTCATGTTTCTCTCTCTGGTGCTGCTGGTCTATTATTGGTGTTCGCAAGTGGTGCTCCTTCCACATAAGGCCACCGCGCCGGTGCAGGGCGCATGCTCTGCCCGGCCCCATTGAAACTTCCTGCTGCTGCTGCTGCTGCTGCTGCTGCTGCTGGTTCTTTCGCTGGAGCATCTCAGCGCTGTGCCTGCTGCCTCCAGCCCTTACACTGCACGCGTGCACTCACCCTTATTTATTCCCGATCCATGCCTCTCCTTTCCTGGCATATTTCTTCCCTCAGAGGAGGGGTTTTTTTGTTTTTGTTTTTTTTTTCCCCTGTGTTCTGAGCATTGCCTTTATCTGTGAACAGTCCTTGGCTGGAGAAGAGACGTTTTCCAAATAGATTTTTTTTTTTTTTTTGGTCCGTATTAGGTTGCTAAAGTGGACTGGGTATTGTATAAGACAGATAGCTGTTTCCTTTCTAAGAAAACAAGGTTGCTCTTCAATTCTCCATGGAAGTGAAGAAGTTTGTTAACAGAATGCATTCACATTGCCAGGAAGGGTCCAGGTGTGAAGTTTTTCAAAATATTAGCTATAGGGAAAATGTTGTGGCTACCAAAGAGTCAGATTAAAGTAGCAGTTATGGTACAGGCCTAGATCTCTTCTTATCAATAGCCCAAATCTCCACCCTTAACAAACTGCGGCATATAATCGGGTAGTTTTTAAAAAATTTTATTTATTAGAGAGAGCGCGAGAGCACACAAGGAGGAATGGGAGAGGGAGAGGGAGAAGCAGGCTCCCTGATGAGCAGGAAGCCTGACAAGGGACTGGATCCCAGGACCTGGAATCATGACCTGAGCCAAAGGCAGACCCTTAACCGACTGAGCCAACCAGGTGCCCCAAAAGGGTAGTTTTTTAATGTAGTATAAAATAGGGGTGATAAGTTATATAAAGACTTCCTGCAGAATTTCTTTAAAAGTTAAGCTTCCCAATATAGTTATTTTATTATCATTGCATTTACATGGGAGTTTTCGAGAAGTAGTCACTATGAAGTAGAATGCCTTAGTAACTTGCTTTCAGGATACTTTTGGAAGTGATAGTAGTATATGTATCTGAGAGAAATTTGGGGATTTGGGGAAAAGGATTGCTGGCAAATTGTTTTTGGAATTTGCTTGGACCAAGTTGAAGGGCAGGCATAGACCTGTGATGGCATTGTATTCTGGGTGGTGTACAAGTTTTTTGCCTTCCATTCCTTTTAAGTATTTTGGCCACCGCATTTGGCTTATTATAGAAGAAAAAATGTTAGGGTCAGTTTATAGTTCATGTTACCTTTCCATCTAGAGTTGAACAGTCGGCCACCAGCTAAGTGAAAAATGAGATAAATTCTGGGCTGAGAGATTATACCAGCGGGCTCAGCCATTGTATTAACCATTGGTATGGTTGCATCTGTAATAGTAGATCTTGTCATAATGTGACCTAAGAATAATCATTAATTAATGTTATACAGTTCAGGATACTTGGCAAATGAAGAGTCTGCAGGTAAAATGCCATTACTGTGCAGGGAAAAGATTATCAGTCCTTTGATGATGGTTAACCTACTTGTAACAGTTGGATTAAACATTACTGGACCAACTAACAAGATGTACTGAGTCTTTTTTGGAAAGGAGTTGTGTACTAGAAAGAGTTAAAAGACACTGGTTTTAGCACGGAACAGTAATATATAAGTTGCAGAGCAAATTACTTAATTTCTGTAGACCTCGTCTCTGAGTGAATAGAGATAATATCTGAGGATCAAATGAAATATTTCAAAAATCCTTTCATAAACCAAACACTTGCAGTGTTCTTGTATTACAAATTTTATTAAAGATGTTTGTGAGATATAAGATACACAAGTTCATTTGGAAATAAACTGTTAAATTTTTAGCATGTTGTGAGACTAGGGGTATGAGCGAAGGTATAATATTGAGCTATTATGCTCTTTGGGAAAACTCTTTGTTATAATCAGCTGAGTTTTGCTGTATGTAAACTTGTATGTTTAAAAGGCAGTTCTTAGTGTTGCTTAAAGAATCCTAGTTTATAAAACTTCTGGTTTTTCCTAGTGTGATTGTCCATTAAAAGGTGTTTTTGAAAGTATATTCTTCTGAGTTACCAGTTTAAAACATTTTACCTAGTCAGTTTTTGTCATAGGTATGTCATTATGGCATCCTTTGGAGGAGACTGTAATTCTCTATATTGTCATTGTTTAAGCACTTTATGATCATTTCCCTAAAAATTTGCTTACAAGTTTTTATTTGACATTGTGGCTTTAGCTTAGACTGCTTATTTGGTTTAAGTGTGAATGATATAATAACTAGCATTTATTATGTACAAACATCATCTCATTCCTCGTAACTGTTCTTTGAGGTTGGTACTATTACTCTTATTTGGCAGGCATAGAAACTAAGGTTTAAGAAGTTGATTCAGCTGCCCAGTGCCCAAGATTATATAGTTATTAGTAGAGTCTGATTTTTTAAAAGATTATTTATTTTAGAGGGGAGAGTAGAGAGAATGCACGTGCTTGCTTGTGTGGGGAGGGGGAGGGAGAGAGAGAATCTCAAGCCGACTTCCTGGTGAGCTTAGAGACTAACTCAGGTCCCCATCCCAGGACCCTGAAATCATGACCTGAGCCGAAATCAAGAGTCAGATGCTTAACCAGCTGAGCCACCCAGCACCCCTAGAATATGATTTCTAATCTAGGTCTATCTGAGTTCAAAGCCACAAAATTATAAAATACCTTTCTAGGGGCCATGTTTCCTACACTACACTAAGATACCCCAACGTATTGTCACCAACCTGCAGAGGCGCTGTGTGGTTGTTTAAATATTCAAGGAACATAGAGCAGTATTTGACATCTTTTGGTTGCCAGGTAAACTTACTAGTTTCATATAGTTCCTGATTTGAACATTAGATCGTGCTACATTCCTTTGGATGATGTGTCTTTGTGAAGTTGGGTTTTTGGGGGTTGCTGTGACAAATGCAAATACTGCATGAAAATCAGTGAGAAATAGGAAATAAGAATAGCAGTGTCCAATTTGATTCCAAGTTTGAGAAGTTGTGCATTGCCTCACTGTAATATGCATTCTGTAAGTAAGTGTGATTATTTAAGAATGAAGTAAAAACATTATTTTTTTTTCAGCTAAGGTAGATTAGTTTTTCAAATCTCTACTAACAACTTGATAAGTGGAACTGTTAGTATTTCTTGGCCTAGTGCTGTTGTGAAAAAATTACTGAAATGCTGAGGGTGTTAGGAACTTAGAAAGCTTGGGAAGTTGTGCTTTGAGATTATCATTGGTTTTTGTTGCCGGAAAGAAAGGAGTACTATGTCCGTTTTGACTTTATTTTGCGGGGAGGGAAAACCAAGGTGCAGAGATTGATTTCAAGTGTATGTAGCTAACCATTGGTGCTATTCAGACCATTCTTTTCAGAGTCCACCTGTGTGCTGAAAATGTCAGGAAAAAAAAATTAGATTTCTTGTTGCTATCAGTTAGAATAGGAAAAGGGTGTGCCAACTGAAGTTGCTTTCTTTTTTTTTAAGATTTTATTTATTTATTTGTCAGAGAGAGAGAGAGAGCGAGCATGAGCAGGGGGCAGGGGCAGAGGGAGAAGCAGGCTCCCTGCTGAGCAAGGAGCCTGATGCGGGACTTGATCCCAGGACTCTGGGATCCTACTGAGGATGGACTGAGCCACCCAGGCGTCCCTGAAGGTGTTTTTTGTTTGTTTGTTTGTTTTTAAGTAATCTCTACACCCAGGGTGGGGCCGGAACTTAAAACTCCAAGACTAAGAGTTGCATGCTCTACTGACTGAGCCAACCAAGTGCCCCTGAAGGTGTTGTTTGAGCCCCATTCCCTCATGGTCAACTTTTGCCCTCCTAATTTTGTGCTCTGTATGGACTTCTCCAGCTTCCTTCTGACTAAAAGTGGATGATTGGGAGGTATGGATGCAAGTAAAAATGAGCATTGACTTTGTGGGATTACTAACATCCAGGGCTCCCAAGTGTCTTTGCTGTCCTTCAGAGGACATTCTTTTTCAAGAGGCAAACGCACTTTTT